TTAATCCCAACACTGAAGAAAGCAGAGGCAGGCTAGTCTCTGTCTGAGCCTAGCCTGGTCTACACTGCAAGTTGTAGGCTGGGCAGTGTTAATAATGATATCCTGTCTCAAAATCGTATTTTTTTTTCATTTTTAAGATTTATTTATTTATTATGTACACAGTGTTCTGCTTATTTATTATGTATACAGTGTTCTGCATGCATGCAATCCCATTATAGATGGTTAGGAGCCACCATGTGCTGGGAGTTGAACTGAGGACCTCTAGGAAAGCAGCCAGTGCTCTTAACCTTTGAGTCATCTTTCCAGCCCAAAAACGTATGTTTTGAAAAGCTTTTTAAAAGATCTGTTCACACTCCTGTCTCACAAGCAGCTTCACTTCAGCACCTGATTGTGTCTTTTCCTCCTTTTTGGAAAACCCATGCATAGGTCAGAAATATAAAATTATGAAATATGAAATTATAAAATACGGTTTAAAAAAGTCAACTTTCTAATAGAGAGAGACTGTTTGCTGTGTCTAGGCATGTCATCATATAATAAAATACATCAGCATACAACAGCAGAAAACACTGCGTGACTGTCAAACACTACACTCCTGTGATGACTCAAGCACAATCTGTAACATGGAACTAAAGATCATAGGAACTTTACGTTTGCAATGGCGCTACACTGAACAAAATAGATTTTGTATTATTGGAGAAAAAACACGAAATAAGAACTTGCGTGGTGGCACGCATCTGCAATCATATTACTTTGGGAGGCAGAGGCTGGAGGACCACTGAGTTTAAGGATAGCCAGGACTACACAGAGAAACCATGTCTCAAAACAAAAACACAACTCCTTAGAGATCTGTTCAGATCATTCATAAATTTGGGATTCCCATAAATGTTTTTGTTATTTTGTCATAAAACTCATCCTAATATGTAGTAAATATTAAAAGAATATTTAAAAGAAAACCTTAAAAACAGTTGAAGGATTACTCTTAAAAATGTTAATATACTGTAGTCTGCTATGCATACATCCTTTGTTATTTAGCAACTGTCCAAATCAGTTGGCATTACCAAACTTGAACTTCTGTAGTCCAAGAAAGAATAATTAGTATTTTCTTGGCAAAAGTTTTTTTTTTTAATTTTTAAAAAAATGTATTTTTATTTTATGTGCAGTTTGACTGCATGTATGTCTATATGAGGGAGTTGGATCCCTTGGAACAGGAGTTAGAAATAGTTGTGAACTGCTATGTGGTTGCTGGGAATTGAACCTGGGTCCTCTGGAAGAGCAGTCAGTGCTCTTAACCACTGAACCATCTGTCCAGCCTGTTGGCAAAAGTTCTTAATTCTTTCTGAATCATTTTTTTCTTTTTCTTTTCTGAGACAGGGATTCACGAAATGCCCACTGGTCTCAAACTTGCTGTGAAGTTAAAGATGAATTTGAACTCCTGCCTCCAGCTCTTGAGTGCTGGTATTACAGGTACTCTGAATGTTATTTTAAGGGATGACAAACTAGTTTTAGCTCTGATATTAAAGAAACGGATATCTAGACCCATTAGCAACTTTACAATGTAATTGACTGCATACATTTCTCCACCATAAATGCTCATTTCAATCTACAAAAGATAAATGCGCCAAAGCTCACGGAATATTTCTTTTTAAAATGACATTTATTTAGTGTGTGTTTGTGTTCCATGGCACATGTGCTATCAGAGGATAGCATTCAAGAGGCAGGTTTTTCCTTGATGGAACATCAGGAATGTGAATATGTGTGATATGCATGTGTTTATCTGTACATGTATGGCTGAGGACACATGATGTGTGACTGCTCCTGTATAGAGGCCCAAGACTGATAGATGGTGCCTTCCTTGATTGCCCTCTACTTCCTGAGGCAGTCTCTTAGTGAACCCAGAGTTTGCTAATCTCGCTAACCAGCTTCCTCAGTGCTGTGATTACATGCTGCCACCCTGCCCAGCTTCTTAGGTAAGTTCTAGGGATCTGAACTCCAGGCCTCCTCCTTTGCAGGGCCACTGAGCCATCACCACTGTTGATTCCTTACTTCTTAGCTGTCATTAAGTTTTAGAGCACTTATGTCTTCACATATAAAAAATAAACACGTTTGGGAGCTGGCCAGAAATTCATAGTCTTGGAGGTCACTGAGGATGGACCTCTCCCTCACAATTAGCAACATGTAAAACTATGGGTTGAATTTGCAGGGCTGTCATGACCAAAGAATGAGAGTTTTGAGTTATCTCCGGCCCTGGGTGGAAAGGTAGCTACAAACTGCTCAAAAGGTCATAAGGCCTGTATCTACCTGAGGTTTTACAAGACCACAGATATGCCACTGTCCCATCTTTAAAAAAAAATTTTTTTTTTTTTTTTGAGACAGGGGGTGTTAGAATTATCATTACTGTGATGAAACACCATGACCAAAAGCAAGTTGGGAGAAAAGGGTTTATTTGGCTTACACTTCCACATCATTAGTCCATCACTGAAGGAAGTCAAGACAGGAACTCAAGCAGGGCAGGAACGTGAAGGCAGGAGCTGATGCAGAGCCCATGGAGGGTGCTGTTTATTAGCTTGCTCTCCATGGTTTGTTCAGCCTGTTTTCTTACAGAACTATGGACCACCAGCCCATGGATGGCACCATCCATGATAGGCCAGGCCCTCTCAAGCCAATCACTAATTAAGTAAATACCCACAGAGACTGCCTATAGCCAGATCTTCTGGAGGCGTTTTCTCAGTGGAGGCCCTCTCCTCTCTGATGACTATCTGTGGCAAGCTGGCATACAACTAGCCAGCAGACAGGGTCTATCTACAGAGCCCTGACTGTCATCGATAGAACTCACTATGTACATCAGGCAAGCCTTGAAGAGATCCAGTTGTGTCTGTCTCGAGTGCTGGATTAAAGGCACCATTATGCCTAGTGTCATTGCTCCCTCTGTTTCCTCTTTTTCAAAGCTACTCCAAGTGGGCCTGCCAATCACCTGAGGAACAACAACAACAAAAACCCTGTCTGTTTTAGAGACATCTGTGTTTTAAAGCCTTCCTAAAAATGTAGGCTGGCACAATAATCTCTTTGGCCAATGTCTGTTCTCATCCCTTGTGAGTGGACTTTTATGCCAAATGGTTTCTCTGGCCATTGTTTACTCTCTTCTTTGGGTGTACTTCCTTTTATGATACTGAACCCCGTTTATCTTCAACAGTGTGCCCTTGTATGTCTCATCTGAACTCTTTTATTGGCAGTCTCAAGAAATGAAGAGCTTGAGGTGAGTTCAGAGGGAGAGGACACAATAAAATAATTTACATAACTCACCTGGGTTACTTTGGATCTTGATAAATAGAAGCTAGTGTTGATTTTACACAAAAGTCAGTTTATCACAAATAAAGGAAATAAATATATGCAGGTTGAAAACAAAAGTTCAGGGCAGTTAGAAATGCCCAGCTCAGCTCAGTAGAACAGTACAAATGTATAAGCCCAGGACTCAGGAGGCCGATGCATGTGGATAAAGACTTCTAGGTCATCCTTAGCTACACTGGGAGCTTAAGGTCAGCTTGGGATACAAGAGACCTTGTCGCAACTAAACAGCAACAAACACCAAAACAAGCAAAAATGAAGTTCAGGGGCGGGAGCAGGGAGAGGCTCCATCTGTGTTAGAGATTCCACAAGGCTGACCCAATTGCCAAGACTGTACAGAGATGAAATGATAAAGGTCCAGAGGCAAATTATTTTGTGCTATCTCTCTTTAGGTAGAGTCAAGAAAGCCACTCCCCAAAGCAGCACACAGATCTGGTCTAACACAAACCTCTGTGGGAAAGGGACTCCTGGAAGGTATAAGCTTGGAGACAATGAGCTGAGCACATTACCCAGGCATGGTGGTCTGCTAGGGAGGCAGAGGAAGGTGGAACTTGAGGGCTCCCTGGCCGGCCAGTTTAGTCTAATTGGTCAGTCCCAGATTATAAGTGAGACGGTCTCAAAAACTGGGTGGCTGGCTCCTGGTGAGTGACACCTGCGGTTGACCTCTGGCCTCCACAGGGACCTAACCTGTGCTCTCCTACATACATGTAACAGGAAGACTGAAACAAAAGCATCCGTTACGGCCAAGGACAAGCTACCAGTTACCTACTTGGTAATTTACGCCCAATGAAACTCGCACCACATATGAATTTGTTAGTCAACGAATTCTGACACTGTGGTAAGAAAATGCGTCCACATATAGAGTGCAGGGCAGCGGTCTGCGAGGCTGATGAAGATCGCAAGTTTGAGGCCAGCGTGGGCTTTACAAGCGTATCCTCGGGTCCGACTGACCTAAATAGGGAGGCACCACTCCACAAAGAACCAGAAAGGTCCTCCTCGGAAGTTAGTGTTGGGGAGGATTTATTTTTACCTACTTTTTTCCTCGGTATGTCTTCAACATGGCATGACTAACCTTCGGACACCGGATGGCAAAGCCAGCAACCCGGAATTTCTTACCACACCTTTCTGAAAGGCTGAGATTAACTGGCGCTCACCACCGCGCCAGAAGCCGAAAAAACGGCAAAAAGCAAGTCTTTTGAGTGACTTCACTCCAGCCGGAAGGCAAACTCTGAACACCAGACGGGTCTCTAACTGTCGTTGCTCCCTGCCTCTCCTCCGGTGGGGCACGTCCGGCGGTGCTACGCGAAGCCCCACCTTCTCAGTGCCGTGGCTTAGCGGCTGCGCTCGCCCACGCTGCAGGAGGACAGGTGGTGAAGCTCCGTGGGGATTCCTCGGAGCTGTAGTCCCCCCACTAAAGCAACTTCCGGCCACCCTACCCTGGGCAGCTCCCGCTTCCGGGCTCCCGCCAGGGCTTGAGCTGCAGGAAACTCAGTTCCGCCCAAGGGCTGGGCAGCCTGACCGGAAAGGCGGGCTTTGGGCACGCGGGACTCCTCACCTGTCTTCCGTTTGCGCCGCGCTCGGCTGCTCAGCCAATCGGCGGCTACGCTGTGTCCCGGTAGCCAATCGGAGAGGCCCGGAGGCAGCGCGGTCCTCCGGGGGCCGCACCTTTCTTCCTGCCCACCGGTCCTTCTTTTGTTACGGCTCTGCGGTGTTTCTCGCTCGTGTGCAATCCGGCTCCATCGCACTTTAGGCGGCAGGATGGGGATGGGCAGGAGCGAGGTGGGATCCGAGCTGACGCCGACCTGGCCTTGGCGACGGTGGCGCGCGCTCTGGAGGACTGATTGTTGAATGGCGCCAGGAGACAGACAGGGCCCGGACGCGACGGCCGCCGCATGTTGCCTACCAAGCAGGGACAAAAGAGTCTTTCAGCCCTTGCCTCGTGCCTTCTTTTGTAGTTCACTGTTGCAGAGGTGACGCAGGGGCTCTTGGTGCGACCTGGCCCTTTGTGGAGCTTGAGCGAGGATGCTCTGGAATCCTAATCCAGTGGAGCAGTTTTCTGGAGTCGTTTTGCCTGGGTGAGGTGGTTAATGAAGGAAAAGCATGGTCTCTCTGACTCCTGCAATCTTCCTGTGCGGTGGGAGCCGCTCAGGTGCGGAAACGTAAGAGAAAGGGCGGGCAGTCATTGTTCGGGGTTGGGAGTCGGGCGTCGTGGACGGATTGGGTTCAGAACTGAGAAGATAAGAGAACAAAACAAGTTCGCTTTTATTTACACTTTCAGGAACGAAAGAAAACCGGCCAGATTAAGGCTTAGTTTATTGTCTTTCACGAGGAGACTCTTAAGTCGTTCTTTTCCGAGCGTCCCAAGCCACCGTTGGAAGCTTTGATTTCTTTGTATCCTTCAAATGATACTAAATTCTCAAGTGCAACAAGATTTCTTTTTCCTCTGCCGTTTTACTCTGGATTGAAAGCAACCAAGTTATCAAGGTAGTATTTACTCACACCTTTCCATTCCGATGGGCTTATACCTTATTTGGATGAAATAAACAGCGTTTGCCCTTTCTTTTTTTTCTTTTTTTTCCTCATTATTTTAAAGAAAGCCTATGAACTTTGGGAAATGGGTGCTGGGGAAGAGATGGTGCAAATGTTTGCTTGACTGTTAAGATACAAGGCTTTGTGTTTTTGTAACAATTCTTAAGTGAGCTATTTTAACACGCAGTTGTGCACAGTTGTTCAGTGATGTTTAGTCTAGTCTCACTTCAGCAGCCCTTAGCACATCTGTCTTAACATTGCAGTGCTGGGCTTCAGCCCAGGTCTTGTACATGCTTTTGGCCAACCAGCACATGTTTTCACAACATGAACAGTTTCATTGTCTGTCTGAACCAGGTTTGTTTCCTAGA